GAACCCAGAAATCAATCCATGCACTTAAAGCCAACTGATCTTTGACAAAGGCACCAAGAACATACACCAGGGAAAGGACAGCCTCTTTAATAAACGGTGCTGGGAAAACTGGATATCCATATGTAGAAAAATGAAACTAGACCCACACCTTTTGCCATATACCAAAATCAACTAAAAATGGATTAAATACTTAAATATAAGATCTGAAACTATAAAACTTCTATAAGAAAACACAGGGGAAACACTTCAGGATGTAGGACTGGACAAAAGACTTTATGAGTAAGATCCCCAAAGAATGAGCAGCAAAAGAAAAAATAAACAAATAGGATTGTATAAATATCAAAGTAAAAAGCTTCTACACAGCAAAGGAAACAATCAACAGAATGAAAAGACAACCTACAGTTGGGAGAAAATATCTGCAAACTATTTTTTGACAGGGGATTAATATCCAGAATATACAAGGAACTCAAACAACTTAACAGTAAAAAAACAAACAACTTGATTAAAAAGTGGGCAAAGGAGCTAAATAGACATTTCTCAGAGGAAGACATACAAATGGCAAACAGGTACATGAAAAAATGCTCGACATCACTAATCATCAGGGAAACACAAATCAAAACCACAGTGAGATATCATCTCATCCCAGTTAGACTGGCTATTATGAAAAAGACAGAGAATAGGGCTGGCTGGTTAGCTCAGTCGGTTAGTGCACAGCCTTGTAACACCAAGGTCATGGGTTCAAATCCCCATAACAGCCAGCTGCCAAAAAGCAAAAAAAAAGAGTACTAAATGCTGGCAAGGATGTGGAGAAAGAGGAACTCTTATACATTGGTGGGAATGTAAATTAGTATAGCCAGTATGGAAAACTGTACAGAGGTTTCTCAAACAACTACCGATAGAACCACCACACGATTCAGCAATCCCACTACTGGGTATAGCCAAAGGAATGGAAATCATCATGTTGAAGGGATATCTGCGCTCCCATTTTACTGCAGCTCTACTTACAACAGCCAAGAGCTGGAACCAACCTAAATGTCCATCATTGGACTACTGGATATATATATACACAATGGAAAACTACTCAGCCATAAAAAAGAATGAAATCCTGCCATTTGCAGCACATGGATGAGCTTGAAGAAAAATATATTAAGTGAAATAAGCCAGGCACAGAAAGAGAAATACTGCATGTCCTCAATCATAAGTGGGAAGAAGGAAAGGAAGGATGGAAAAAAGGAAGGAGGGATGGAAAAAAGGAAGGGATTAAGGGAGGAAGGGAAGATAGATGGATGGACGGATGGAAGGAAGGAAGGAGAAAAAAACAAACAAGCAAACAAACACAACAATCACAATAAGATGTTGAACTTACAGAAGGAGAGAACAGAACTCTGGTTACTAAAGGTGGGAAAGGGGGAGGGGAGTTAGCAAGAAATTGTTTAATGGACACAAGTGATTATGTTTTGTAATGATGAATATGCTAATTATCCTGATTTAATCATCGCATATTGTACACAAGTATTGAGTCAATTTTGTAACCCACAAATATATACAATCAATTATGCTTCAATAAAAAAAAAGGAAAGATAGAAAAAGAAATTACTGCCTTCCGTAAGATAAACTGTTAAAACCTAGCAACATTTATTTTTAGACAAAAAGAATGTTAAAGGAAGCTGGTAAAAACTATTGATTACAAAGTTAGTTTTCACTGTTTTTTTTTATTTTAAAGTCTGGCATTCATTTATAAAGTTGCTTTACTCTTTTTCAAGGCAAAAATATGTACTTTTGAAACAAGTTGTAGACATTTACATTAACGTGAAAAAATAATATTTTACAAAGAATCAAAAACTAAACATATATCTAAGGCATAAAAAGTCTTACCTTACTGCACAAAATCAAACAAGTTGCTCGGTATTAAAAAACTTTATTCATGAAAGATCAAAATAAAAAGTACCCTAGCAGCAAATCTGGCCTACTAATTACAAACGGGCTTGATGAGGCTCATAATCTCTTTTTGTCCATTTCACTGTTAGGTTAATTTATCTATTACTTCCTTATGCTTCTTTTGGTTGGCTGTTTAACCTAAGTTTTCTATGATGAAAATATATTCCTTATATTTAAAAAAAAAACTATTGCCTGAAAATTTTTACCTCTTCTTGACATGAATCAAAAAAAAAAAAAAAAAAAAAAAAAAAAAACACCAGGGGTTACTGGGGGC